TCTCCAGGTCTTACTAACTCCCCCTTCTTTCATATGATTCCCTGCACTCTGCCCAAATTCTTATAAAATTTCTCTCAATGGTTTCAATTTTTATATTTTTTCATTGATATATTTTTTCTTTGAAGTACAAAAGTTTTTAGTATTTAATGAAATATAATTTATTATGACTGTTCCTTTAATAGATTTTATTTGGAGTTTTGCAAGAACTGTTGAATTAGTCAAAGTTGTGGAGACTTCTACCTATATGATTTTGTCTAGATAGTTTGGGCTCTTTTGCTTTGATTTAATTTGATAAAATAGTAGTATTATAAATAATTCGATAATATAATATGCCTCTTTTATTATCTTTTTTCACTAAATAGCGGGTTTTTTTTTTTAGTATAACTTTAATTCTTTCACCTTTCTGAGTTGGAGTTTTAACATTTTAAGTTATGTTCTTTAACATTTTTATATTTAGCTGATTAGAATATAAATTTTATTTCAGCACCTATTTTGAAACGTGTGAATTATGTAGTAGTAAAATTAAGCTCATTACCATCTTTTTTTCCAAATGTATTTACCATTTTTGTGATAAAAAGGGTGATATATGCTGTGCATTTTCAAAAGGTGACACTAAATAGTTATACTTTGGAATATGTGTAGTGAAAAAGTGGGTTATGCATTTGAAGAAGAATTGGAAGGGGGTATGGGATGGGTCTGGAGAGAAAAGGAGAAGGAGGAATGTAATTATAGTATCAACAAAAGAATACTTTGTTATTAGATATAGTCACTATCTTGCACAGCACATATCTAAAATTTCATATTATTTGGACAGTAGCTCACCATTCCCAGTTCTTATCATTCTAATCTCGATTTTTATGAGCTTTATTGTGTGTAAGTTTGACATTTAAGTGAGATCCTGAACTTACTGTCTTTCTGTGCATGTATTATTCACTTGATATAATGTCTTTCAATATCACCCAAGTTGTCACAAGTGACAGAAGTTACATTTTTATAGATTGAAGAGTTTTCTACCATTATTTGTTAATTCACCAATGAGATAATGTTAAAGGAAAAGTATATTCCTTTTAACAGTCTTTACTCCTCCTCCAAAGGAGGAAAAGCTGTCTATCTTTCAAAATCCAACCTAGGCAAGAAGTTCAGCCTGGTATGTTGGCATATGCCTTTAGTCCCAACACTCAGGGAGGCAGAGATAGGTGGATACTGGATATCTGTGAGTTTGAGGCCAGCCTGGTCTAAAAAGTCAGTCCAGGACAGCCAAAGGTAAAAAAAAAAGAAAAGAAAAGAAAAGAAAAATGTTCATATAAAAATGTCCTTATATCATTCTCTAAGTATGAATTCTTTATATCTGTAGAATAATTATAATTCTCTTAGGAAGTATAATAAATTAATGTTCACTTTACTTCATAAGTATATTGTCAGCTAAAGGAAAAGAAAAGAACGTGAGATATTTAGGCACTCACTATCTCTAGTGTGGTGATAAAGGACGAACACAGTAAAAAGCCTCAGAAAATGTGGGTACAAGGAGATCTTACAATGAACTAAATCAACACCTGAGATAATGTATGTGACTAGATCATGACAAAATCAGAATTTTGTTTTGGTTGGCTTAAAATAGTGTTCAAATGTAAAGATCTTCAACTGAGAACGTCAATGAACTTTAAACACATGACCGACAGTGATGCTAAGTCTGTCTTATTCCCTTGATAATTATGAAGAACTTTGACATTGGCTTAGGTTCTTAACCCTGCGTTCCTTCTTAGGCATGCTCGGATGAACCTGATAGCTCCACAGTTTTCATTCGTGGTTGTTTTTGAATCAAATTATGTTGACATGAATAATAGTTCTGATTCTTTTAAGTTTGAAGAAGCTGTTCCTTTTGTTATAATAGAATCTATATTGTTTTTGGTCCTGTCACTATTTGAAGCATTACCTGATAATATCTCATCTAACATAACTGAATATAATTTTACATATACATTGAATTTGGTCCTATTTCTTTTATGTTTCACAAATGCTGAAGTGTTACTTTTGGTATTAATTTATTTGGTAAATTCTAGTTCTTAAGTAGTTCTTTGCAAACAAGAATCTAAGATCAAACTTTTGACGCATCTTCAAACATTCTTCTAAGCTTCCAGGTTGATGTTGATATGTGGCACTCACAGGTGTTTCTAGCCTCAAATAATGTGTTAAAAAGGGCTATGGACAGACCTTTGGATGATGTGTAAACAAAATCAAGTATTCCAGTTTATTATTGAATAATGTAAGCTTTATTTTTATAATAGAATACAGTGAGACATAAGATTAAAAGCTTTTGCTAAACGCTGTAAAGCGAGACATGCAGCTGCCATGAGCAATCTTGACTCAGGTTGGGTTTTATTGCCACTTCACTGCACTAAGGTGCATAAACATTCAGTGTCATCTTTAAAAAAAATTCCTGGGAGTCAACAGGAACTGTCCTCTAAAGAGTGTTTCTTTATTTTTCAAGGAAGACTTAACTAGTATTACATGGTTTAGCAAAGCACTGTTGTAAAACTACATAGAATAATTTCTCTTTGATAAATTTGCAATCAATTTACACAATAGAAAACTACTCACACATACTAACAAACTAATAAATGATGGCAATGCAATCATTGCAAAGCAGTAAGCAGACTACTAAGAAATAGTCACACCTAATAAGCAAAACACAGACCCAAAACTAGGCATGAGGAGTCGGGAAGATAAAATGCGCTCACTGAACATGTTTGGTTGACGTCGGAAAATAACAAGATAAACAGCAACACAAATGTTAGAGCCATAATATATTTTATTTTCTATACATATCTATACATGAAATGTCCTTGGTTCAGCCATTTTTGGCATAGCTCATGAAATTTAGGCAGGACCAAATCGAACAATGAAGCACATTTAAAATGAAACCAAAGATTTGTCATCTTTAGGGAAACACAAGCAATGTGTTTTCCAACATCAATGGATAGCAGCTTTTTGAGAAAAAAAAAAAAAAAAAAAAAAAACATTGCTCAAAACTCAGGTATGGATTCTAATTGACTTATTTGGCAATTATGCTAAAAGTTTTGTGTCACGGTCTTAAAATGTGATTAGACCATGATCTGTGGATTCTGAACACTAACGTTAAATATCTGTGAAAATCTATCAGACAAAAGGAGACTTCAAAAATACCTTCTTCATAAATATTTACTTCTAAAACATCTGGGCAATAATGAAAGGCTAGAATTTTTCATAAGGAACGGTAATGGACCTCTTTTATTTAAAGCCCTTACATAGTATACCTACAAATATATTGCTGCAGTATAAATGAAATGTAATAATATTACTCAATAAAAGCTAGTTCCTGTACATTCTTTCATGTATTTCATATTGGATGCTACATATGGTACAGCACTTATTGAAATAGTTGGTATCAGCAATAAAGAAATAATATACAGTTGGTTTTCTACCTCCAACTACTATTCCCTATTTTTTTTTCTCTTTATCATAATAGCCTAAAATAGGGAAAAAAATGGTATGATAGAACCCGAGCAGATAGCAACTGATCTACTATTGAACACTGGGCAACAGTGAAGTTATGAGCGTTCTCTGTATAATTGGATTTCATATTCAATGTTTTAATTGGCATCTGTCTCCTACAGGCTGTTCTGTTCTTAAATGCAGGCTCTAAATGTATTTCCATAGCATTTAACAACATTCTAACAGCTAAAAGTGGAGATTACTCATGGTATTTTAAGAACATAACTTTAAAAAAATTTAAAATGTACAATCTCATGCTGAATATTTACATATGTAATTTATATATTCTATTTTTTGTTGGCTAGTCATAAATTTCAGTCTAAAGCTTTTGATGTAGTTATATAAAAGAATACATTCAACAATTCTAGAGCTTGCAAAATAGATTTGCCCCTCTGAAAGCATCTTCATCATAAGAATAGTGTGACTCTTGGGTGAATGGTCTATTTGGGAATAAGAGTGAAAAGAAGGTTAATGTTTAAATTATTCAATTAATTTATTTAGTTTAGTTTCTATCAAGTAAACATCAGTGTTAGGCTGGCTGATCTCCATAGAGTCTACTGGTAATGGTTCAGATGACAGCGACTTATCCCACTGAAAGGCTTTCTTTCCATTGGATTCAGAGTGCTACAGCGACAGCCACACCTTAGCCTGTTTATTAGACTTCCATAAATTCTAAAATAGCATTAAACAACAAAATATTACATAGTGAGATTTTTAAAAAGAGAAAGCTTAGGGAATTTTCAGTTTGACAAACAAAACATTAAATCTATGTATCAGCTTAAAACATAAAACGAATAAAAACGTAACGCTATCGTTTGTGCAATAAAGACATAGATTTTTAAAGTTCATTAAACATTTGTCATTTATCCTTTGAAACACACCTTCACACAAAAATATTTTTGACATATATAATTTTTGAGAGTATCTGGAAATATATATCTACAAATGACTCTGTGGTTATAGTTAAGCTCTGTTTTTCTTTACTTTTCTTCCTATCTTTGGACCTTCTTCTCCTCTCCCTTCCTCTTGTCTGTCTCCTTCTGACATGATTTTGCTCCCTGGCTTCCTCTCAGAATCCTGTCCCCGAGCTGAATATTCTGCTCTGCTCTGGACTGTCAGACAGGGGTCTCTTGTTCTTATGTGAAATATGGAAATAAGGAAACCTTCGAATTCTTTAAGACAGAGGCAGTAAAGCAGATAGGAATCACTGCGCTGAGAACAGAAAGCGATTCTCGGAGCAGAGGACTGAACGACAAAATGCGACTAAAAGAACCCACTTTTAAAGAAATAATTAGTTGTATATGATATAGCTTTATAGGAATAATACTGTAAACAAAATGCCAACATTTGAATGGTGCTTGAGTGGGATGCCTTGATTAAATGTTCACTTTGCTCATTCAAAAAAAAAAAAAAAAAAAAAAAAAAAAAAAAAAAAAAAAAAAAAAAAACAAAAAAAAAAAAAAAAAAGAACCTATTGGTGCGGTGTGGGGGCTTTTAACTGAGGCTCTCTGTTTAAATATGTGGCCCAATAGACTAAGTTAAAGATTCCAAATAGCAGCGGGAAGGCTATTCTCGACAGTCGGTCGATTTTGCTGACGCTGTTAAACGTTTTCTTGGGTTCTGGTGGTTTTGTCTCAGGCTTGACTTCTTTTGGTTCTATGGTCGCACTTTTAGCAATAGTTGCCAAGCCGGGGTCACCCCTGGCCAAGTTAGGGGTATAGCTGGTTGCTGTTGGAGCATATGTGTTGTTTTTCTTGATGAGGGGATCCTTCACTTTCTTTGGCTGGAGAAGAGAAAGGTAATTTATTTAGCAAACAGTGAGAAACAAAATTATGTTTCGGAGCAAGACAGCACTTGCTGCTAACCCTAAATCTTTGCTTGATTTAACAATCTAAAGTCTGTAATTTATGCCTAACTCACTGTGATCCTTTGAAAAGCCAAAAGATGTTTTGTAAACTATTCGATCAAGAGGTGAAATCTGTTCATTTACTGTCTGAATGCAAAACAGAGTTGGGAGTCAGCAGCGATGTTATGCAAGCTTAGGATACTGGGCTCAAAAACTTCCCCGCATCAGCCATCACCTTCTAGAAACAGTATCCTGGAGAAGAGAAGAAGCCCAGGATAGACAAGGGAATGCCCTGGGATCAGGACTAGACCCACTGATCCTCAGCGGAGCCTTCAGATTTATGAGGTTTGCCATCAAGGCTTTCCCAGCTTTTGCAGAAACTCCAGTGAACCACAGTTGTGTGAATGAACCCAGGTTACATGAAAGGAACAACTCCCTTGTGGTTCTTCGCAGCCACAAATTCAGAATCACCAGCAAGTGTTTCAGGCCACTCTGCAGGCCTTCCTTCAGCAGATTTTCCTAAACCATCGTCCCTTTTCAGAGTTATGTGATCTTGCACTGTTGCTATTAACCATTTGTAGATATTGAGCACCTTAAATGTATTTAGACTAATGTAAGATGTACTAAGCACAAATATGCATGAGATTTGGATGACTGGGGACTTCAATGAAAGCTGAGGGTAGTTATTATTTTTTTTTAATGTAACACAACAAACATGAAAATAATTAAACTCAGAAAAAAGCTAAAGAAATTTGCTTTTTTAATTACAAAAAAATAGGAAAATTATGCATTTGCTTTTGCATCTGATAGCAGGTATTTAAAAAAAAAATTCCAAAAGACACAAGAGAAGGCACATTTGAATACAGATTTTCACCTTTGAGTATCCCTCCTTTTTTTTCTTCTATTATCTACCTGCGTATCAATTCACTCAAACAACCTCCCCTAAGAACAGTAACAATATAGCCCACTGTGCTTCGTCATTTACTGCCTAAGAGAACTAAAATGAGTACTCATAACGCTTTCTTGAATCTAAGTCTATAAACCAACATATTCCATGTATAAAAGTCTTAAGGCCTCAAAGCCCTGACATAACAAAGAGCCACTGTGGTGTTTACCTTTTCTGGGACCACGCTTTTGCCATCCCACGCATATCCCCTCTTGGTAAAATAGTTCACTGTGGCAAACTCAATCAGAGCTGAGAAAACAAAGGCATAGCATACTGCGATGAACCAGTCCATGGCTGTAGCATAAGCCACCTTTGGAAGGGAATTTCTGGCACTGATACTCAAGGTTGTCATGGTCAGAACAGTTGTCACCCCTGCAAGGAGAGAAATTAAGCAAATGGATGGATTCAGTATAGAAAATTTGGTTAAAGCAGGCCTAGGCTGGTTCCTTTAATCAAAGGGGAACCAGCGGGATCATATTCAGATTTGAATTCACCCTGATTGGACGTGTGGTAGAGGAGTTGCGATGTGGTCTCAATACAGCTTGTGATCAATAGCACATCAGTCAATCAGAAGAGATAAACTGCTCTGCTAATTGAGAATCTGTTACTAAAACAGTGAGCTTCATTAAATAGGCATCTTGTATGCCTAGCCTAAGTAGGATAGAGAATAATACTATTTTAGTACACCGAACTCTTGATATAATTATCTTACATATCTGCTGTGTATGGTATTCTAGAAATATCCATAGTGTTGTTTAATAGTCTTTATCCCAAATGTAGAAATATGAAAGTCATTTTTAATGCATGGTGGCAGAAATATAAGTAACAATTTGGTGAAGGATAATGTAGCACATTTATCCTATACTACTTCTCTTTCAAAAGAGTTTACTCACTTCATGGAAAAATATGTGTATGCATAAATGTGTATCAAGTCACATAAAACTTACTATGCACAAAATAGCATGTACATGTACTCGATATGAATTTGGATACCTTGTTTAAAAATCAAGTGACCAAGAGGCAACAAAACTAGTCTTTAAACACAAGCCTGATTCAAATGTCTACAATCTCTTTGTTCTAATTCTGCCTCAATTCCCCCACTGTGTAAATCCAACCCTTGGAATTTAAGTCACCTATATGCGAAGTAAAAACAGTTTGTAAGTTGGTTCTATTTTATTTAGATATTTCTGTGAAATGGAGTGTGGATAGTAATATCCTTTACTGCTAATTGAGGTACCATATGAAAATACTGTATTGGTTATATATATTTAATTTAATGCTGTGTGATATTTTTTTGTATAACATTGTAAATGTTTAAAAATAATTCAAAGCAATCCTGTCATGGAAGGTCAAAGATCACCACAAAGCAGCCTTGGGCTATTCCAGGGACTGGTCCAGACATTAGCACTCTGATAAGTGAAATGATAGATCTTGGCCACTATGTCTGTAAAAAGGCTGATTCTACCTTCATTTCCTCTATTGTACGTGCCATTGCTGAACCCCTCAGAAAAGACAAACTTTGCATAGTCCCTCACTCAATCATTATTGTAATGATCACATTCAACATTGTGAAGATGATAACTAATGCATTGCCAAGGAAGGAACTGTCAATTTATGATTCTGAAGCTAGGATTAATTTCTCCTGTTAATAGTTTTGGAAAATCAGCTGGGCTACTCAGCTGATAGAAATTTTGTAAGCTGCTTTAAACCAAACAATTTTCTAAGTTTTTCCAAAAATGTCAAATAGATGGTCTTTTAACTTCACTAGAAAATGAGATGATTAAGAAGATATGTAATAGAATATTTATTAAATGATATTCTTGACACATGCTCAGGACTATGGGAAATATATTTAATTTGAGGTTTGGATGGCATTGGGATCAGAAAATTCTAGGGCAAGTTTCTTATTACATAACTAACCTAAGGAATATTAGCTGGCAAACTGCCCCCCAGATTTACATATCAATATCAACTAGAGCAGATAGCAAGGTAATTAAAAGTCAGTAATTGGGGAACAGAGCAGCCCAATTCCAAATCCCAGCCCTGTAATTGCTGAATGACCTTGGGACAATTTTCCCACAATCTCGGGCTTCTCTATTGTTGCTTTTAATTTATTCCTTACTAATTGATTTTATTAACTCTAACTCAGAAGGTTATCGAGAATATTAAATAAGATAATACAATAAAATATTTAATTCTTAGCCTAATGGTTAAGGACAATATTAATGACTACGAAGGGAAATGTCCGTGTTCTGTATTCCTTATTACTACTATGATGAAGTCCGCTTTACTGAAGTTCATTTCATGTAGACAAATATCAAGAGTTATCTGGAAATTAGTGATCTTTCCCCCAAAAACTCTGTAAACCAAAAATAGTACAAAATAGCTTAAAGTATATGTGTGTGTATAAATGTGTGTGCATGTATGTCTGTGATTTGAAAACCCCGCCATGCATAGAAAGAAACAAAGACATGATGTATGGCTGTTAAACTCCAAGGAGTGCGCCTGACAAGTTGCATATTTTATCTTTCCCGTGTGCTCCATTTAAGCGTTGTTTTTCTTTTCTGTACTTGCATTTGACTGGAAGTAGGAGTGCGGATAAATAAATTTAAAAAGCCAATGTTATATAGCTGTAACTGGGTAAAATTAAACCTAAAGCTTGGATCTTTTTAGCAGCAAATTTGCATGGCAATGCCTGGAAATAAGGAAAAATATAGGAAGACAAAAATATTTTATTTTTCAAGTCATAGAGTAGACTTCAGCTTTGCTGCATTCTGGATTGCTTTTATCAAACTGGTGTAACTACTGTGGTCATTTTTTTCTTGAGGTATTTCTTTACATACAAGGACCTGTTCAGGCTATCATGGAACTCAGAGGAATGTGCTAAGTTCGGGTAAAAAGAATAGAAGTATGTACTGAATAAATGTTAAAAGGCTAAAGGTCTAGGAAAATGTATTTGTGATTTTTGTTGAACTCAAACACTATAAATATCTGACTTCACACACAGAAACATTTGCTATAACTGAGTTAACAGTTTTATACTTATGTTCACCAAAAGGTCGTTGGTCGATTGTGGTATAAGATCTTTGAAAATGTTGTAAGCAATGTGTTAAACTCATAAAACACAGAAATGCTTTGGTGAACTTCCAAATAGAAAGGATAGTCCAGACTGGAGCAAGAAAGGGAAAAAGTAGTCATTAAAATAATTCAATTTCATCCAGAAAAGGTGGTGCATGCCTGTAATTACAGCACTCTGCAAGGCAGAGGCAGGCAAATCTCTGTGAGTTTGAGGCCAGCCATGTCTAAAAGCAACTCCAGAACAGCCAAGACTACACAGAGAAATCTGGTCTTGAACAATCAAAAAGTGAAAGAACTCAGTAAGTTAAACAGCAATAAATCAAGCAATCCAATTAAAAAATGGAGTACAGACCTAAACAGAGAATTCTCAATAGATGAATATCGAATTGTAGAAAAACACTTAAAGAAATGTTCAACGTCCTTAGCCATCAGGGAAATGCAAATCAAAACGACCCTGAGATTTCACCTTACACCCATCAGAATGGCTAAGATAAAAAACTCAAGTGACAACACATGCTGGAGAGGATGTGGAGAAAGGGGAACCCTCCTCCATTGCTGATAGGAATGTCAACTTGTATAAACACTTTGGAAAACAATCTGGCACTTTCTCAGACAACTAGGAATAGCGCTTCCTCAAGATCCAGCTATACCACTCCTAGGCATATATCCAAAAGATGGTCAAGTATACAACAAGGACATCGGCTCAACCATGTTTGTAGCAGCTTTATTTGTAATAACCAGAAGCTGGAAACAGCCCGGATGCCCCTCAGTTGAAGAATGGATACAGAAATGTAGTACATCTACACAATGGAATATTACTCAGCAATAAAAATTAAAAAAAAAAAAAAAAAAAAACAAGGAAATCATGAAATTTGCAGGTAAATGGTGGGAACTGGAAAAGATCATCGTGAGTGAGGTATCCCAGAAGCAGAAAGGCACAAAAGGTATACACTCATTCATAAGTGGATATTAGACACATAATATAGGATAAACATACTAAAATCTGTACACCTAAGGAAGCTAATCAGGAAGGAGGACCCTGGCTAAGATGTTCAAGCCCCATTCAGAAGGGCAAAAAGGATGGACATCAGAGGAGGGAGAAAACAGGGAACAGGATAGGAGCCTACCACAGAGGGCCTCTGAAAGACATTACCCTTCAGGGTATCGAGGCAGATGCTGAGACTCATAGCCAAACTTTGGGCAGTGTACTTGGAACCTTATGAAAGAAGTGGAAGATAGTAAGACCTGGAGAGGTCAGGAGTTCTACAAGGAGAGCAACAGAACCAAAAAGTCTGGGCACAGGGGTCTTTTCTGAGACTGAGACTCCAATCAAGGACCATGCATGAAGATAACCTAGGACCCCTGCATAGATGTAACCCATGGCAGTTCTGTGTCCAAGTGGGTTCATAGTAATGGGGACAGGGACTGTCTCTGACATGAACTGATTGGCCTGCTCTTTGATCACCTCCCCCTGAGGGGGGAGCAGCCTTGCCAGGCCACAGAGGAATGCAATGCAGCCAGTCCTGATGAGACCTGATAGACTAGGATCAGAGGCAAGGGGAGGAGGACCTTCACTATCAGTGGACTGGCAGAGAGGCACAGGTGATGAAAAGGGAGAGAAAGTGGGATTGGGAGGGGAGAAGGGAGGGAGATACAGGGCACATACAAAGTTAATAAACTGTAATTAATAAAAATAAAAGTAATTTTTTTTTTAAATGAAGAAAAAAGAAAAAAAATCCTTTTAGACCTGGCACTGGCCTCAGTCTTTTAAAATAGAATAGAACAAAACATAAAACTTAAATCATGTGTTTACTTCAGTGTTTATTTCCTGGTGAGTTAATGGATCAGGTAGGATATGCTTAGAAGAGGAAGGTTGGGGCTGGAGAGATGGCTCAGCAGTTAAGAGCACTGGCTGTACTTCCAAAGGACCTGAGTTCAATTCCCAGCACCCACGTGGCAACTCACAACTGTCTGTAGTTCCATTAGCAGGAGTTCTGACACCGTCACACAGACTCACTTGAAGGCGGAACACAAGTACAATAAAATAAATTAAAAAAAAAAAAGAAGAAGCATTAGGTCTTTAGCGGATTCAGAAGTTGTTAACATTGACAAATGGCTATAAAGAAAACTTAATCGAAATGAACTGCTTGCTTACTCTGCAGCTGGAAATCATTTGCAACTTAATTTAGTTGTACGCTTAAGATGTGGTCAGAAGGCCAGAAAACAGATTAGGTGATTTTCAACATGGAATCATTTGCCATGTTCAGAAGACAAGACACTTCTGAGCAGATGTGTCAGTCTGTATCTCTTTTTGAGAGAACAGAAATGTAATCCTCTGCAGACCTTGGATGTTAGGGGTGCCAGAATCTCTGCATATGAACTGACTGGAGACATTTAAAGGCTTTCCAGGGTGAAATATGTGGCGTTCAACACAAAAGGCCCATAATGATTGTTTGTAGAAGAAACCTGAATGAATAAGTCTTCTACCAAAAGACACGTGGCTGTTTCTTCTAATTGAATGACACAGACCATAGTGAAGCCATTATGTGGCAGCTTAATGAAGGAGGATGAAAGATGGTGATGGCTTTGTGCTACCATCAAGTACAAGGAATCTGAAGCTCATATCTTACCTTGATTCCCTAGCACCTCACTTAGTACCAACTAAGATGCCCATAAAAATAGTGCCTAATATGTTTTAGGTTTAAATAATATAATATGGTAAATCACATTGAAGATGATGGGTAGAAAATCACATAACTATTCTCCATAGTTGTTTTAAAAGTCATGGAGGAAATAGTGTGCAAGTAGTTTTCTATCTCATTTTATTTCCAGAACACAGACATAACTCAGTGTATTTTGAATAAAAATTCACTGATTATGTGAGTCGATAAGTTTACTCTAACAAACCTTGTTTTCCTTAGTCTGAAAAGTACAACTGAGATAGTGTAAATGGGATTCAACCAGGAAACACCCCTTTCAATGAAAAATGAACTCTGAAATAATGTTATCAGTCATTTGATTTTCACATTGATGCTCACTGTTCAAATAATTTTCCGTTATGTTGCCTTAACATCCAATGTTGAGATTGTTTTAGGGATTCCAATAAGAAAAAGTGTCTTTCTAACTCTTTAGGAGTACACTTGAGAAGAAAACAAACAAATAAAACAAAACAAAATAAAACAAACAAACAAACAAAAAAAACCTGTCTATTGCTAGGATCACTAATGGCTTTTCTCTACTTAAGAAAATCCTGGTTTCAACAATATAAAAAGTAGTCTGTTGCTATTTTTGAAGAGTCCCCAAAATCATATGCTGTGTATAATTTAAGATTTCTGGTTATTGTATTTTTAACCTGGTAGGTCCTTTTATGTGTCACTGCGTTCTATGCAATTTTTTAAATTTAACTTATATTAAGCCATTCTGCTTTTATTAACAAAACAGTTTTCTATAGAAAGACATCAGTTTTTAAGTCATACCATAATAGATGTAGAAATTCTTCAAATCTTTTAAGTATATTAAATTCAGGGCTTAGCATACGGTGATTTTTTTTTCATTCTCTTTGCAATGTCACTGTCATAAGATACCTATCCTTGACACACATGCATGCTTATATTGATACGTGTATATTAGCACTTACCAAAGACGGTTCTTGCTGGTACAGACTCTCTGTTGAGCCAGAAGGAGACTTGTGAGAGAATAACTGTCATTATGCAGGGCAGATATGTTTGAATAACAAAGTAGCCGATTTTCCTTTTTAAGTGGAAGTGAGTAGTCATAACCACATATTCTCCTAGAGGGTGAAATGGACAATAAGGTTGAATAATTTGACTTTGAAAAGAGGCTATTCCTTAGGGTTTGAAAGAATCAAAATTTTAGAGGTTAGACACATCATGTTTTCCACATGATTTCTATACCCTGGAGGGAAAGGCCTTGTCCAAGAGAGAAAAGAAACATTTTTAATACACATCAACTTGTCTCTGAGGATAATCTGGAGGTGTTAGAAACTTCTACTTCTTCCTTCCTTTTTCTATTGGTATATTATAAGCCTAAGGAATAAAGCTGAGCTTATATTTCCTCATTGATTCTGAAAGTGATGTGCTAGATCCAATGAGTCCAATAAACAAAACTACAATAGATTTCCAGTATAGCCTTTGCAAAACATATTTGAGATGTAAACTAAAGGTGCTTTGATATGGAAGCTGGGACAGCTGAATTTTAGTTCCAAGACTTCCTTGGACCGCAAATTAATGATGGAGTTTGGGCATGAATAGAAAATATACACCAACCTAAAATCTATTGTTTTTCAAAATATATATCTCAAAATCAGATGTGAAGATTTGAGAAGACTTTGAGACCCACACCATGAGAAAGACACTATTAATGATACTCTGCTATGCTTGCAGACAGGAGCCTAGCATAATGCAGAGACCCATGGCAGAAATAATAGGCTGAAATCCAAGAGTGTTGTGGAAGATTTGGGGGAAGGATTGAAAAAGCCCAAGAGGTCAAGTAAACCAAAGGAAGACCTACAGAGCAAACCAACTTGAGCCCGTGGGTGCTCACAGAGACTGAACACCAAACAAAAAGCATGCATGGACTGAACATTGGCCACCTACATATATATATAGCAGATTGTACCTTGGTCTTCATGTGGGTCCTCTACCAATGGGAGTAGGGGCTGTCTCTGAATCTGTTGCCTGCCTTTGCATTCTTTTTTTTTTTTTATTAATTACACTTTATTCATTTTGTATCCCCCCATAAGCCTCTCCCTCCTCCCCTCCCGATCCCACCCTCCCTCCCCTTTCTGCATGCATGCCACTCCCCAAGTCCACTGATAGGGGAGGTTCTCCTCTCCTTTCTGATCTTAGTCTATCAGTTCTTATCAAAAGTGGCTGCATTGTCCTCTTCTGTGGCCTGGTATGGCTGCTCTCCCCTAGCTGAACTGCTTTTTCTGGCCACAGTGGGAGAGCATGCACTTAGACATGCTGCTACTTGATGTTCAATAGTGACTTGGTACCTATAGGGTTTTCTGTTCTCCTCAGAGAAGAGGAAAGAGAAGGGAGAAGGGGCTGTGAAGGTGGGACTGGGAGGAGAGGAAGGAGGGGGTAGGATCAGGCTGTAAAGTGATTAAATAAACTACCAGGAAAAAAAAATAATACCACTGATGCCATAAAAAGGAAAATTTGAGAGGACATAATTCTTCAAGTACCATCCAGGTGTATAAAGCATTGCTTGAATTTGAAAGAAAATCTACATTGCTAATAAAAATTTTCTTTTCCTTTTATTACTATAAGTACTGGGATGGAACCCAGAACATTCCTCATGCAAGACCGGTCCTTTAGCTAATTGGTACCCACAGATCTGTCACTACCCTTAGAGTTAGCTTCAATCTCTGGCTTTGTCTGGGCACTCTCTCGGTTCTCTCTGCTTCAGAGTCTGTCTTCATTTAATTGTCTGAAAGAGTGGCTAACAACAGAAAGTATAGGGCAGTTGATCTGACTTCATGTCGCATCCTTATTCAATTACAAATCGTCAAAGTATTTAGGCTGATTCACTTAGGAGATAGGCTTAGCTCTCTGTGGGTGGAGACAGGAGATGAAAATATCCTCATCCAACTTTGAATAGTTCCCTGTCAGTCCACTTTATCCCCTTCTAAACGTGACAATACTTGATTTATTGCTTAACAACAATACCTGGGCATCTTCAGCTCCTCAATTTGTGACTACAACTCCTCTATTATCCAAAACTCTTGATTCAGTCTTCATCAATCTCATACCTGCCTGTTCACCCTCCATAGTAGGGGGTCTCTCTCCCTTCTCAATAACACACTTTCACCATCATCTCCAGACCCCAGTTTTAGGTTGTGACTTCCCTTAATAACTTATTGATTATTTCCTTCATAAATTACTGAGTTATCTGTGTCAAACCATCATTTTCCATTTTATTCTTAAGTAAATGAAGTGTGGTTCTTATGAGAAGATTACCCTTCCATCTCTCCTCCTACTGGCTTCCTGGAGGTGTGCAAATGTCTGCCAAATTTGCAGTGAAAGGAATTTGATTCTAAAAATAAAGACTTTTAATCCCAAATCCAATAGAACAAACAAATAAACAAAAACAAACAGTGACTTTTCATGTCTCAGAACAAGAGGGACTAGTGATTAAATGCCAATCTGAGGCAGTTCAAGAAGACTTGAAGCACTCAGAAGTTTTGTCAGTGTAAACTGGATTTCAAGGACTGAAGAAGCAGCCACAGTCTAGTACTTATAAGCTACAACAGCAGCAAAATCACTGTAAGACAGAGTGTTTTGTTTTATTTTAAAACACCAACTATGTTTAAGATTCACAGTACAGCTCACCTAGCATGACTATGTATCTGATATTTCAACACTGGAGAGCAGAGAGTTTTAGTCCAGCTTGGGTTACACAGCTGGAATATGTTTTTGTTTTGTTTTGTTTTGTTTTAAATCATACTATATAACTTTCCTCAAAAAGATTGACCACCACATATCTGTTTAATCACTGCCAACAAGAAATTTAATTAATCCTTATATATTAAATGGCATTTTAGAAAAAGAGAAAGGTTCTGGCACCACAGTTGATTTCACCTATGCAGCATCTTTCAACCTTCTTATTTCTTTCCTCCGGTTTCTGTTCCAGTCTCCTTTGGGTAGGAATTAGAATAACCAGTTAGCTGTCTCATGTGTCTCAGTAGCATCTAACTCAAGTTCTTCCCTACCTTCAAATGCACAGGAATCTTCAACCTGTGATTAGGACATCCTTCTTTTTTTTTTTAACTTTTATTAATTACACTTTATTCATTTTGTACCCCCCCATAAGCCCCTCCCTCCTCCTCTCCTGGTCTCACCCCCCTCTTTCTGCATGCATGCCCCTCCCCAAGTCCACTGATAGGGGAGGTCCTCCTGACATCCTTCTTACTTAAATTTTTCACGCTGAGATAATTAATTTTAGTAGCCAGCTTGAGTGGATTGGTATAGTACACTCTTGCACGTCTCAGCAAGGTTATTTGTAGAGATGGAAAATGATTTGATGAACAAAGGGTTAAAGATCCACTGTGAATGTAGCCTTAGCAATCCAGTGGCCAAGAAGGTAGAATCCCAAGTATGTAAATATGCACAACTCTGTTTTAAAGTGCTTTTGCTGCTGTCCTAGCTTATAGGCACTAGACTGTGGCTCTTCCTTTAGTCCCTGAAATTGTACTTAACTAACAAAACTCCTGAGATCTTCAAGTCTTCTTGAATTGCCTAGGAATGGCATTTAATCACAAATACTCTTATTCTGAGACTCCCAGATTAAAGATGAGCAGATTTGATCTGCCTCAGGCTGCTGGCATATATTCTATTATGCAACAAACCTCCAAACCCATGAAACCATCCAGTTACGGACTGAGATATGAAAACTCCTAAGCCAACGCACACTTTTTTCCTTGTTTATTTTCCTCAGCTGTTATTTTTTTTTCCTTATCGGTAGAAAGCTAACATAGACACCCATTATCAACCTCAACATTTGGTACATGTAAACTGTTTAACCACAAACAATTGCTTATGGTTAAAATCTGTCCTGTTACTTATTATTATTTACCTATATCTATAGACTTAACCTGAAACAGAGACCTTAAAACAAGACAGCCCAAGGAAATAAATTTTCCCAATATTCCTATACTGGAGGAGGGAAGAGACAAAAATCTGGTTCAAAGGAGGAGGGACTTGCCTCCCAGAAGGAAATCTCACACTGTTCTGGCAGCCTATCTCAGATTCTCACCAGCAAATCAACATGTAAATATTTCCATTTCATCCTCTCTATAAAAATGTAACCCTGCTAAAGGAGAAATAGACTCTAAGAACTTTTTTCTTCCTAGTTCTAGCCACATCAATTCTTTCTCTGTGATCAACTTATTTTCTTTTTCTAATTTCATTGGAATATTTGAAAAAAAGCCACTGAGTTTTTGTGCAGTAAAGCACATGGTAACATAACTGCTAGATAAAAACACCAGGTGATCTTTCCTTCCCTCAGATGAGGATTAAAATATTCTGCATTAAAAATTGTAAGGAGCAGACTCTTCCATGTAATCAAGGCTTTGTACAATGAAGAGTTAACCTGCAGTACAGACTTAGGTCTTACCATCCATCTTAACATCTTAACCTTCGCCAAGCAAACTCTATTTGACTTCTGTTGCTGAACATTTTGTTTGTCAATCGATTGAGAACAGACCAGGGCCACAGCATAGTAGCAAGAAATGTCCTAAGGGGAAATTTTATTAGCCTTGGAAGAAAATGAGTTTTTTTGAGTTTAATACTCAAATCCATTTTCTTGTTGTATAGCCTTAGGTACCTCATGTAGACCTTCTTAACCTCAGTTTTCTTGTTTGTACAATAGTAAAATACAATGTGGCTAAATGAAGAATAATTGTTCTAACAGGACACTACATAAAAATGCTAAAATAAGCTTTAGTTACTTTCCCCATTTTCATCAATCTTCACCCACATCAGAATTGGGAGAAGTATTTGCAAAAGAAATGCAATCAGCGTTACAGAACAAAGCCATTTCTGCATTCATCATCAACTGGTATTAATGGCAACTTTAATGTACTGAATATGTACTAAGTACTCTCTAATTGCATCTATTTTTATACTCACTAATAAAATTTTGTTTGCATTCTAAAATCTGTATTTATTGTATATTGTTGGTGATTCTTAGGGTTCAAATGAAACAAAAACAATTGATCCTAATAGGATTAAAATTCTAATTTTCAAGACCTCTGCTTTAAAATATAGCTTGTGCTATATTTTAACATAGCACATTGGACATGCCAATGCTATGTTTCACTATTGCATTTTATTATTTCTAATGATTCATTCTATTGTAGTCTAAAAAAAATTGTCATTAGCTTAGAGAAAAAAAAATCCCATCTTTCATAAGGTGTCAGGAAGATGAGTATCTACATACATTTTGTCATTTGAGCTATGACATTTTTGTGAATAGTCTGTAAAGAATATGCTTCTGGGAAGTTATTATTTGCTATTATACTGTATTATAAACAACATGTTTTTCTGAGATTAGGAAAGAACAGGAGGGCTTCTACTGTTTTGAAAACACTTTAAATTAAATGAAATCTAAAGAGTATTGACACAAAACGTTCAAAGAAGTGACAGAAGTGACAGCGATGTCAGAATAAAGTTGTAATAATTTAAAAATGAAAGAAGAGCAAAAGAGAAAAGCCCATATCTTAATATGGATTAAAAGTCTAGACACCAAGTGTGCATGCCCTAAGCATATCACATTAACGGTACAGAAGAATTTTAAGTTAAATGTCCTCAGAGATCACTAATCCTGAGGGAAACATGTAAATTAAAAGCAACAATATCCCTGGTACATTACAGAGTAAAAGTTAAGGACAATGCAAGAAAAGCAGTGGGTATAATTTGGTAAATTTGCATTTCAAATTGGTTTAGAGGTGACTTCCTCAGATGTTTGTTAAACATCTTGGTTGATCTCCATTAGCTTCATTCTCCTAGTCCCTGGGATGCCCTGAAGATATCATTTAACAGCGTATGTCACAGTACTTATAATCATAAATCTTATCTAGCTTTACAATGTAAAGATTGAGTGATAGATATAGTCTCACTGGCTGGGGACATCAAGCCTCAGTCAACTTATAAAATGTTATTTTACATTGAGTCCAAATGAAGCTTCTTTCCACATTCCATGAGAATATGGAAACATTGCTGAGTAATGGGACTCTTAGTCTAATTAAACCTTTTCCCCCATTTGAAATGTGAATTAGTTGACTAGAAAACAACACAAGTCCTTTCTTCAGAGATCATGCACTAGGCATTATAGATGGGGCCCTGAATGCTGGTCACCATGGTGATCCATGATCAGATGATCTGATTCCTGATGATGTTGTTCTTGGAAGGTTATCCTTCAAATAACATCTATAAAAGCCTCCATATCTAAGAAAGATGATCTTATAATTTTTCTTGTTTTTTTTTAAGGATAAAATAGTAATTGAGAAGAAATTGCTTACTTTTCAAGATTACAAACATGCCCTATGATCAATTTGCTTTGGAGAACATAACAACATCAAGTTATCCTTGAACATTTTAAAACCATTGGATGAATTAATTTCTTATTGCTTTGTGGATGCTGATGTTATTCTTGTCCAAAAGACCAATTCAATTACTTCAGTTTTCTATTTATGACTTGTAATCATTGACCTAAAATCTCAGGTATTGTGATAGTATCTCTACCATTCTTTTTTCTCACATCATTGACATGATCTAGAGGTATTTGCACCTGAAACATGTCAGTGGGATTGTATGATATATGTTTACAGATAAGGAGGGTACTGCTTTCTAACCTTGCAAAAAGTCATCCAAATTGATTGGACCTCTGCAAATGATATTAAGGTGGACATTATTTTCTAGCTATTGTTGTTTTGTGTCCTAGTGCCATCATTCTCTGGTTTTCTGGCAGTAACAGAGAAGTAATTGTACTCAGTGTCATCTATCTTAACATTTTCAGGGCTCCACAGTGAGGTGTGAAATATAGCATTGACAATCTTTCACAAGACCTTTGTTGCTTTCCACTGAAACCCACAGAGATGGATTCTTGATGATCAAAAACGGGCCTGGAGAAAGTATAATTTGCTTTCTTATTGCACTGTTAAAGATGTACATCACACTGAGCTCTTGTATTCGAGATTTTGCTGTCATTCTTTCTGCTCCCTAATTTTTAATAGTAAGTGGATATCTCCTAGGATGTGCAGATATACTTGCTTTCCAATTACAGGAAGATTACTTCCAGTAATGCCCAACACACGGGGTAGATCAGCTCAGTGACCCAAGTCTTGGCCTTTTATCTACATGCCTCAGCCCATCTTTCTTTTTTTTATTATGCACTTTTTTAATAATTGGAATGTTGGTGGCATGACTCTTTAGTAAATAAAAGATGACAGAAACATTAACTTTAAAAACATTGGATCTGGTCCTCCTCCTACAGAGGGCTATCATGGCATGTTCAGGCCCATAACTACAATAGTGGCTTTTTTCTCCAAACCAGCTTTCAGACTTGTATATATTATTGCATGTGCATTACTACAGTGGGGTTGTCTCCTTGATATCACCAAACACTGCCATAAATGATTAAATGTATCTGTGTATATGACACTTAATGAATAGGACCTAAAATACTAGCTACTGTTTTCCAACAAAGATTTCAACTAACAATGTGAAAAGCTACCCCCTGTAGTAATCTTTCCTCAATTAGCTTAAGCTATATTTTCTCTTTATTTACCCAAAATATCTATTCTCTATGCTTTCTCTGTCACAGCTACTACAGAAAATAATAGGGATAAGAAAAACAGACATGATCTTTGCCCTCGCAAAAGCATTGCACAGCACTTAGCACATATTTTGATAATTACAGTTTATGTGTTCATCCACTCTAGACTTCACCTTCTATGAGAGCAAGGTCTGTGCTGTGGCCATCATTGAAACTACAGTGCCTGCCATGATACTTATCATAACACTCATTTTTAAGAAGTAAATTGAGCTTATTTGGATATCCTTTTCAGCACATGTTGAAAGAGAAAAAGAATTTGGGACTGCAGCAACAGCCATTGTATAATATCTTGAGCACGTATTGTGTGCTGTTTCTCAGTGTTTTACACTAGAGCTCCACCCCCATTGTAGGTGTCTTTTTAGATATAATGGTAGACCCAGACACTTAATCATTCTATGCAAATCTCCCACACTAAGCTACACCCCCAGCCACTATCTCCTCTTTAATGAAAAGTATACCATTTTGTCTCCTCAGGAAAGGTTTCTGTCTGGATAAAGAACTGGTCCAGCATCCCCAGGCTCGTAAGTGGGAGGACTAGGATGTTTTCCACATCTTTCTCACAGTAAAGTGACACGTTTCCCACTATGATGCTTGCATTTCTAATAAAGGGAAAGCTGAGGACAGCTCTCCTCCATTTTACAGAACTAGAAGCATAATTGTGTATGTGTTCCTAAAAAAATGCATGGGTGTTTTTAAAGAAGCAAAATATGCATCTTATGCAAAACTTAAGTGACTAATCAATTACTTGAAAATGTTAACATTTCTTGGGTCCCAAGATGAAATCTAAAAACAGAACTTTTCTTGCTGTTTTCTGAGAAAATTAGTTTCACTCTTCCTGTATGTGACCAGGTCACTATCTTTAAAAATCACAAATTAAGGAGCATTCAATAAATTTAAATTCTGTAAGATATGTAAAAAGATAATTATAAGTGCTTGACATATATTTTAGCAATTGAAGACATTTAAAATTCAGAGCTTTGAGGGGAGGCATAAGCTTTCGGATTTGTTATGTACCAGATTTAATTTACAATTATTTTATTTTCATTTTCAAATTTCAAATAATACAAGATGCTTCCTTGAATAACAACTCTTTACAACAACCTCAGAACATCCATATACAGTTTGTCTGTAATGTTTCATGTAATTTGAAAATAACACTATTGTTGGTTTCAACACTAAAGGATCATACTTCAAATACTTTTACTTCAAAAATGGAATAACCAGCAGTACATATGCCTCCATTGGCCTCAGCACTGGGATAGTATTAGCTACAAGAAAAAAAGCAAATTGGCTTTTTTTGTGTGTGTTCTATGTGTAATGACCAGCGCCTAAATTTAGACACAATCCACTGATGTGTGACATAAGTGGGACCTAGAGGCCTAAAAATGGCTAGTATTCGTGTAACGGCACTGTGTCCAAAGACTTGTTGACAATCATTTTCATGGGTTTGATTTATTCTTCCCAAAATACTACTGAGTTACCACAGTCAGTTGACAAATTGAAGGTACAGTTAATCAGACTTTCATCCCTAACGGTTTTATATCCCAAGTCTCTGTTTATATCCCAGGCTGCACGGATCATATAAAACCAGCTTCTTACTGTGCAAATAAAAAGAGGACAGAAGATACCAAATTGCAGGTATAGACCCAGAGTTTAGAGTTTATATCCTCCAACTCTACTGATATTCGTCCTTGGTCAGTTTTCTCACTCCTTTATCTCCCCTTTATTCATTTATTTAACCATTTTACAGTCTGATACCAGTCCCCTCCCTCCACTACACCCAGTCCCACCCTCATGTTCTCCTACCCCTGCCTCCAACCCCTTGTCTCCTTCTCAGATAAGGGGAGGTGTCTAAGGAGTCGCAGCCTACCCTGGCATCTGAAGTCACAGCGGGCTTAAGACCATCCTCTCCCGCTGAGGCCTGACAAGGCAGCACAGCTAGCGGAAAGAGCAAACACCCGCAACACAGTAAGAAACAGCCCCTAATCCCATTGTTAGAGGAACCATATGTTGACCAAGCTGCATATCTGCTACATATGTGTCCAGGTCCAGCCCATGTATTTTCTCACTCCTTTATCCGACTTTTCTGTCACTAAGAGAATTACAGAGTTCTTACATTCTCAGTATACTTTTTTTTCCTCTTCCTTTCATTATTTCCCAAATAATCAAATGAAACTTACCTGTACTGGACTGAACAATTCCAGAGTCAACTGTTTGTCCAAGAAGGTCATACTGATTTAAGCGTGACCCATCTTCTGCCACAACCACTGAACGAGCTGGCTCTCTTGTCCACTCATAGACAACTTCTGCTCTCGTGTAAGCATCTGAGAGAGAGAGAGAGAAATTATACTCATGCATCTTGCCTCTTTGATTCTCTTAATGAGCTGATTGTTGCATCAGATTCGTATTTCCTTCCACATTGTTGCAGATGGCAAGCTAGAAATGGTTGCTTGGTTATGTAAGTATACATTTTTCTGAGGTTTTCTTTCGGTCATTTGTTCACTCCTTCCTGACATGTTAAACACATAAAAAGGATACAGCACTCTGCTAGCATACTTAAGAAACATATTCAAGGTGTCTGACTTTATGTGACTTATATGGGAATAAGAGAGTCATGAATAGATAAGCAAATAAAAATAGACTTCCACAAAGTGAGATAAAGCCATACACTACTGGGTAAAGGAATGGGGTGGAGAGATGCATTTAAGATTTGGAGAAGGACTTGGTGAGGCTCAGAGCCAACATTTTTTTAAGGCAAGACTGAAAGAGAAGAAGAGGAGAGCAGAGGCTTGAGAAAGAACTTGTTCATTAGGCAGCATGTTTGTATTGATGTTGTTTATTTATTCATCCTTATTTCAGGCAAAGCAGTGGCTGGATTGAGGAAGATTAGTGTGTCCACACTAGAAAGCATGGGAGATAAAGTGAGATTAGAGCTAACAACCCTTGGTGTGTATGATGTTGAGCCATGGGCCGCTTACATTAAATGGAAAACTAACACCAGGAACGTTGCTGCAGAGCTTTTGCACCAGAGGCTTACACTGACAATGTTTTCAATTGATTATTTTTATAGCTATTAACAAGAATGGCGAAGATGCTAAAGATGGTGAGAAGTTATCTTATAGATAACCTTCCTTCTCACTCGTTTTCAATAGCCAAGCCACTATTAGTCAAGGAATCTTTCTGACACTAACTAGCCTATCAAGTTGTAAAAATTAATAAAATAAAAATTAAAAAAAAGAAGTCTTTCATATGAGGTTCTGGTTCATAAATTCTTAATTGACTCAGATTAGAGAAGAGTGGACAAAAATAAAGGAAATAGGAAAGCAAGGGAAGAAATGAGGATTAAATAGAAGGAGGAAAAGAAGGTGGCAGGAGAGAAGAAAGATTTCAAAGTGGTTCTGTTTTCCAGTCCCAGAAGTCCCACTTCACAGGGCTGAAACGCTGTCCTCTGTTGAGATGCATAATGACGTTAATATTTTAAGGAGTATCAATGAGGAAAAGTAAGCTGCTTTAGATTATTTGATGGGAGGGCATGACAGCAAAGGTTAGCCTTATGATATAAGCTTGATTCACTGGCCAATGGCCAACTCGTCCATTAGTCACATTTGGCACACTGCCCAGAGACCAAAACACTTTCAGAAGGCCATGAAAATGTTTTAATTTATTTAAAAATCTAAGATCAATATAACCTAACCTGGCCTGTATCATCGTTATACCAACAGTTATAAACTATAATTTGAATTACGTTTTGGAGAAATGTACCCCCCTGACCCCACCAAAAAAAAACAAAAATGCTTACAGGTCTTTGAATTATTAACACTATCCTGTTCAATACAACCTTCAAATCCAGGCTTGAGAATTGTGTGCAAATATGTATTTTTCCCAGCTAAAACATTCTAAGATTTTAACTTATGGTTGCCTTTTACATGAAAATATTGCTATCTGCCAAAACAAACACTGACTTTTCAAACAAAATTTTGGAATGTCACTTTACTCTGAACCGAGTGATGCAGGGAAATTGAGAGCTTGTTTTCCCATCTTATGGAGGCTTCCTTTCCGCCCTGTCATCATTTTAAGTCAATGCATACCAGCTATCTCTTGAACAAACTTGTATGAAAAAGTTTGACATTGACGTAATGTGTCCTGAGACAAATTTAAGTGACAAATGGGTTAATCTAGTTTTGTCCTCTTGGATTTTTAAGCATTTCCTTCTTTACTTTTGGGTAGTTTCAGTGAGTGAAAGTGCAGGGCATAATAGCAATATAAAGAGCAGGACAATTTTTCAATGAAGAAAGTATGAAAATTGACTTTAAAAGGTCTCTTAGAATAGGCCAATGCACACAAGTTTGAGACGTGTCACATAACTTACAGCATTAGAGATATATTTTCAGCAAAATATATTTTTCTGATCACAGCAAACTTTTGTTTTCTTACTGAAGTAGACACGCTTTATTTGTGATAGCACAGACTGACTGAATGTGCCTCTTGGAAAAGTCTCAATGCCACATGTTTTCCTCACATCATATTGACACTAATCTGGGGCACAGAACCAAAAAACATGTTTTGTGGAGTGCCACTACTTAGAGGGAAAAGAAAGGTAACAGCTTAAAGTGCTATTCATTCTACTCCACCTCATTTGAATTTTTTTTTTTTTTTTTTTTTTTTTACTGGAAAAAAAAATGTCCATTCCACCAACATAAACCAAGAAAGAATGCTGGTTCTGAAAATGTCTGGGAATCTGGTTCTAGAGCTCATGACATTTTAGAACACAGTAAATCCCCTGCTCCTAAATTGTACAGTTGTTGGCAACAGTGGCTGGAGAGTATCATTCTATGTCCCGAGTTGTCCCTGGAATGCTAACATAGTTGGGGAGCAAGAAGTCGTGCACTATCTTCGGTGTCCCATGCTTCATTTCTTAGAAGTACTGTGGGGTATGAACACGTACAGGCCTCTGCTACAGTTCTGTGAAGGTTCACAGCACTCGCTACTCACAGCTTCTCCTGAAAAATCTCCCTAAATGAAGAATGCACTCCTGTGCTCAAACTGAAGCTTTGTGGTAAAGAAGACAGAAGGAAGGCACATGAATAAAGAGTTTGAATTGATAATGCTTAAATATAAGAAAATAAAAACTGATGAGTCTCTTCAACTGCTTAGCCAACTACTTTAGGACATGATTTTAAAATAATCGTATTACACAGTAAGAAATGTTAAAACAAAAGGCATTGAGGCTATAAAATAGCCTCATGATAGCACATGCTCAAGTCTATATTTAACGTCAAGAGAAAAGCTGTAAAATAAAGATTCAGTGCTTGTTTCCAACTTCAGTGCCCGGATTTCCATGTTTTCCCTTCATTCCTTACATTTTTTTCAATCTCCTCGGAAGTTTTTGGAAAAGCAGAAAGGCACTTAAAGCCTATTTTTTTCTTTATTCACCAAATACAAACTTATTTAATTATGTTACCCTCTGCACTAGAAAATGATAAATAAAATATCCCTGCTGTCATAAAAATTACAGTTTGCGTACAATAAAAAGTACTCATGAATAAACACAAATAATAATACAGGGGTAAACATTAAAAAAATAATTTGAAAAAGAATCAGAAAGATTGATAGTGTCATATACAAATTAGCTACACAGTCATTGGGAGAGAACATAAAAGGTACTGTTTATGCTGAGATGTGAAAGATGGAAAAGCAAGCCACACAGCTGCTACAAAGAGAAGAGCAAAGCAGACCAAAAAGATCACAGGCAAAACACCCAGGTGCACAGCTGCTTTTGCATTTTCCTTTAACTACATTCAGCTTTGTATGATACACTGTTTTCTCCTCAGGACCCATTTCTTTCTTTGTGAACTATCTCGCAAATCCGTATCTGTATGAAAATATTTTCTGCTCAACCTTCTAACAGCTTAGGCAAAGTAAAACACATTTCATTATACCAAGATACAGGTAGCTGATTCTTAGGATTTTAGGAAAAGCTTTGATCTTTTTGAAACAACCACTGATTTCTTATTTTCTTTACCAACTATTCCCCATCTTTCTGAAAGTAAATGCAAGTTCTTAAGATGTTGTTTTGTGATGAGGAACTTCATGTAAAGGCATCGTTTTGTTAAGATGAAGCACTAGGCAAACATCTAGCAACAATGAACGCTACACATCTTCTATGAAAATGCATGGCCCCTTTTCTTTAACTGTCCACACTTCTTAAGCAAAACTTAATATAAACAAACAAACAAAAATACAAGCAAACAAAACTAAACAATAACAAAAATTATAATTCATTTACCAAATGAGAATATATTTGAAAACTAATTTGAAGTGGGAATAAAATGCTTTTAACTAGGACCATTACCGATAATGATACTGTGCTATTGGTGAAGGATCAGTATTGGCTCAGAAGAGAAACAGTGTATGATCTTCTCCCATCAAAGGTCACACTGTGGACTGGGAGAACTTAGAAGGCTTCATATATTTGATATACTATCTTATATCCAAGCGGCAATGGCATCATTGTTAGAAATGGCACTGCCACTCAGGAGAAAACCCAAGAGTCCACATGGTAAAGAGTATATTAAAATGAAACAAGTGTGGGAGAAGGAGTCCTCCCCACCGTCCTGTTTAGCTGACAGGTTAGGAGGATATTAACCCTGAGTCTTCAAGATAGACTGTTATCTAAGAATAGAGAGCAATGACTCCCGTGACTGCAGCTGCTAGGCTCATGGAGGCCCTTTGCTATTTCCTTTGCTTGCTGTCATCCTACACTGTCACTATTTTCCTTCCATGAATCATATTTTACTGAAATAGTTGTTCAGTCTGCCTGTCTAGTGGGAACAGTAAGCCAGTTAGGTAAACTGGGGTTGACTCAGTCCTTGTCTGAACCCCCCCTTGCAGGAAGCCAGACATACATTATCCTCACTTTACGGTTGCATGATAGTCAGAAATAGAAGGGGAAAGAGAAGCGCAGAGGGGCCAGCTCTTCAGCCCAAAGTTCCCTTCTCTCCACAAAGGTTCTCCTTGATGATTTCAAACACTACAGATCCAGAGAGTTAACACCATAGAGATGTGTCTATGACACCATCAAATGGAAAGAAAGCATAAATACATTCATGAATTACATGGACCAGTCCTACTGACTCGGAAAATATTAGAGATGATAATGACAATAAATTATTTTCTAGATATCTCCTTCACATCCTGCCTCCATTAAGAAAAAAACACCTACATATAATCTTTGGCCACTTATTAATATTTTCTTAAAACCATGTCAGGACAGCATAAAGTAAATTACTGTAATCCTCTTACATAGATGTAACTATGAGATGCAATAATCTTTCACTTTTCCACAAATACCACTTGATGCCATTTTCCTACTACATGGTTTAACTCATGGTTATTATTTTAGGAAATAAAAAATAGCACAGGAGCTAGAGAGATGCATCAGTGATTAAGAGTGTGTACTCTCCTTCTCAGGGTCCCTAGTTTGATTCTTTGCCCACAAATATGGCAGCTCATTACCACTTTTAACTCCAGCTTCAAGAGATTGGATGCCCACTTCTGGCCTCCACAGGTGCTCACAAATGCATGATGTACACTCTACACAGTGCCCCAGTTAGAGCGATGAAACAGCATGATCACAACAACTTGGGGAGCAGAAAGTTTATTTCCGCTCACACTTTCATGTAACAATCCATGAATGAGGGAAGTCAGGGCAGGAACCTGGAGGCAGGCTGATGCAGAGGCCGTGAAAGGCTACTATTTCTGGCTTCCTCCTCATACCTGCCTCGGCCTGCTTTCGGATAGAATCTAAGAATATCGGGCCAGGAACAGCACTTCCACAATGAGCTGAGCCCTCCCCAGTAAATCACTAATTAAGAAAATGCCTTACAGCCAGATCATATGGGAGCATTTTTTCAGTTGCGGTTCTCTCCTTTCATGTAAGTCTAGTGTGATTGTGTAAATTTACAGAAAATTAGCCAGCACATTTTGGCACACATACATACACTAAATAATTATAAATTTTATTAAAAAGAAAAAATTTAAAAACACTTAAGGGATACTACTTGTATTCAACTCTTGTGATGTATATTACTGTCTGAATTTTCTTTGTTGTTTCTGACTCTTCAACAGACCATAACTAAACATTGTTGTTTAAGTTAATACACTTCTCATAAAAATAATGATGATTTGAAGTAAATTTACTTACAGCTTCCAAATTTTAATGGGCAGGCATGGGCATCCATAGGGAAGTCTTCCAAGTGCATTGGACATTCAGCTCTCACTGTCAGCCTTATTAATTAAGGAAAGATAGAGAACAAACAAAAGCTCTATAGATTAGACAGTTACTGGTAATTAGAGTAGGGTATTAATAACTATTGCAAACATATTAACAAAGCAGAAGACATGGATGTAAAATGCACACTTATGCCATATTATCCATAATTAAATGATCTAGAAAATGATACCATGACTATTTTATATACTTTTTGTTTACTTTGTGAAAATAGACAAGATTGTATTTTGAGGAAAGGAAAAGAATTGCTGATGTTTCCTATAACAGATAGTATTCACTAAGCTACCTGGCTATGGGAATTGTTCTGATAATTAATTAATATGATTAGTTAACCTGATAAATAATTAATTAAAATATAATTGCATAACCAAATGACAGATATAGTAATTTGCCTGATTTGATCATCAAACAATGTATACCTAAATTTAAATCATATTGGATGTCTTAAATATGTAAAATTGTTTTATGTCAATCAAAGATAAAAAAATTATAAAAGAACATGCATAATTGCCACTTCAACCATTATTGAAAAGAAGATACTGGCAGTAATACTCCTGTCTCAATTGTTCCCTGAATCCTTCCCCAAAAATCACCAACTCATAAGATAGAAAGGGAAGCAGAAAGAGCCCTCAGATTTTGTGAAACTATGGTTCATGCAAGGTGCAAACTCTCCTTAAGGATTTTCACAAAGTGCCCCTGATATTCCAACAGCTGGTTTTATTCACAAACCCACTGCCTAGTTGAGGCAGGACTCTACTATACTTCCTTTCAGTCTCATGTGTTCTGAGAATGTGAACTTTATTCATGGTTTTGTTTAATGCTAAAATCTAATTCATTGAAATATATTGTTTTTTTAACAAATAGAAATGTGGTTGAATTAATATTTAATTTCTTCATAATATCTTTTAAAAATGTGTGTGTGCATGCATATGAATGCAAAGATGTCCTGGTAAGCATGCCCAGGGAGAAATTCCAAGTCAGCTCTCTCCAAGTGTGTCCTGGTGCTCTTACCCACTTACCTAGCCAAAAAAAAAAAAAAAAAAAATGTGGTAGTGGCTTTATAGTCATTAAAAACATTTAGAACGTATTATACTTATAGAAACATTACAGAATGCATGTTAATGTTTAAACTGCATGTTCAACTATTAAGGAAGGTAGAAACACATTGGCAACGTGGTGAGTAAATTAGTTAATGGAACATGTCACTTATGTATCATAAAATGTTTTATATACCCCAAAAAAATTGAGTCCTAAGCCATCTAGGATCTGAACTTACTGACACATAAAAAGAATAAACACTGGGTATAGGTTCAGCCAAAAGTATAATTCTGGAGAGAAGATAGTTGCCTCTCTGGAATCAAAGAATATTTTAGTTTGTAATACACTTAAGGCCTGATTAGATGATGCCATGGTCTAGCTATGTGTGTCTACTGGTCCTGTATATTTTTTCTCCATTGTTATTTCCCCCTTATTCTTTAAGTCCTATTCTATTTTGACTAGATGGGTTCAGTTTCTGTAAGAGGTTTTTCAAGTATTCCCTTTCTATATTCCTTTCTATATTCTATATTCTATATTTTATATTCTATATTCTATATTCTTCTATATTCTATATTCTATATTCCTTCTCAATATTTGTTTGTGAAAAACCTGAATATTCTGACAACATCTTCCAAATGAAACTGTCACTCTAATACCATGCTAAATACAACCAACAATGTTGAGAATTATTTTTATTACTTTTTTCATAACAAAGGAATAAGCCCCGGAAAGATGGCAGCTGACTTCGGGGCCCAAGAGATGCAACCTGACAGTGAATGCCTCTTATGAACCGTAGGAAGAAACGTATGATACCATTTTCCGATTCTTAGTTCCCTTTATCTTCTCAGAACAAATCTCTGAACTCAGGAGTTGGCAAGAGTTTCTATGTTGCCTTCTCAGTAGGTTGTCCTGATTCTTTAATCCAGCCACTTTCTCTGGTGAAACATGGTTGTCTCTCTACACATTACCTCCATGGTTTGGAATGGAAAGAAGGCTTTTTGCTTGTTCTACCTCTCAGACACAACACAGAAAAACCCTCAAGTCATAGCCATCCTGCTGACTTCTCCAGAAAGAAGGAAAAACAAAAGTAAAACCAGGCTATTGTCCTCTGCTAGAGTTTTCTCTGTTAAAACTCATTTTGTAAATACTTCAATTTGCAACGGGTCCTTTTATTGTGGTACTTGTGAATTCTTTCCCCTTTGCTCCATAAAAAGAAATTTTGATACTTCTGTGATTAGCACAGTTGAAGCTGCAGCAGCTTAAGACTATTTAGTGCAATTCTAGATGAGAGAGATTTTAAAAGGTATGATGCATTAACTAAATGGTAGCTCACACTGGGACATAGAAATACTTGACAAAAATGGAAGGTTCATAAAGACAAGAGGTCAAGGATGATTCCATAACTGGGCAGTGAAAGCCCATACCTTTAATCCCAGTTCTTGGGAGGCAAAGGCAGGCAGACCTCACATTCGAGGCCAGCCTGGTCTACAAAGTGAGTCTAGGACAGCCAAGGCTACACACAGACAGACCCTGTCTTGAAACACCCCTCTCCCCTCCCCCAAAAAGTGTGATTCCATATGTGCAAATGTGCTTCTCTGTATAAATCCACATATTTTAATGAAAGGAGATTCTATTTATTTATTTATATTTATGAAAAGAAAGCTCTTGCTGCCCTTTTTTCAAGAGACTTTGGGAAATTTGAAATTTTTAATAGATTTTCAGTTTTCTAAAGATGGGCTAGCCAGCTCTGGTAATGTGTATTTGCATTTAGTTAAAAAAAAAAAGCAGTAAAAGAAAACACAGGTTGAAAGTGATGGTGCTTGCCTTGTTATCTCAGGTGCTTTTATGAAAAATCAGGATTTTATTGGAAAACAAAACCTTTGTTCTCAATTATTTATGAGTAGAGAAAGAATTTTACAGTTGCCACATGAAATTACATACCAGTAGTATTGGGTTGGATATCTCAGTTTAGTGAAATGGTTGGGAATAGGTACTGTGATATTAGGGACAGAGAGGAGATGTACCATATTTGAATGAAAAAGAAAAAATAACCAAACATAGGAAACACTGAGAATTCCAAAGAATAAATTACAAACCCTTCAAAATTTCGAGTGAAGACTATATATAATGTCTTTTTATAAAAAAAAATACTTAATTTTTTTGTTTTTGTGATTTATGCTTTCTTATTCTAACCCTAAGACAATGGAAATGTATGACATACTTTTTAGTGATTTTAAATGGGAATATTTTTATATAATAAGACATGCAGTCTTCAGGCAAAGACTATCTCTAGCTAAACTTACTAGCTAAGTTAACTATCTCTAGCTAAAACTAATATTTGAGAAATTGTGACTTTATTCACATATATATTTCCATGTGAATTTTTGAAAGAACTTCACATGATCATACTTTTCATTTTTGTCTTCCTTTTCAGTAGAAATACCTTTGAATATCTGCCATTAGATAACTTCTACAGATTTAAGGAATATACAGAGATATGCAATTCATAACATGGACTGAATGAAGGTCCTCATGTTGCATTAGAACAGGTTGGAATTACATCCTCTGAGCTGTTGCATTACTCAATCTAGTCTTCATTTACATTTCATTTAACATTACATGTTTGTGCAATATTTCAGATCACTAGGATTGCTTAGCAGAATAAGTTTAGTACTTAAAAATCAGAAAGTCATGGCCCGTAACTCTGGCGATTTCCTTCTTGTAGCAGAGAGAAGCATGGCCAGTGTCCTGCAGGAACCACTGCTGTCCTTACCTCATGGTGTAGAGCAGCGTGCCATCCTCTGTGATGCGCAGGAGTTTGTTAGGCATGGTCATGTTGTGGGCCACAGACTTCTTCCCATTGTGGAAAAATGTATCTGGAGTCCAGATTTTACTGGCCATGAGGTTGTTTAGCCGCAGAACGGTCATGGGCCCTTTGAATTTTAATCTTTCATCCTTCCAGCTTTGACGGAAAAACACATCTATTGTATATTCCTGGGTAATTTTAGAAAAGAGCAGAGTTCTCAGTTTTACATTTCTGCCATACAAATATCTTACAAATAAGCCTTTGGAAGCCCAATGTGGCTTAGGTGACACAGTCAGGAGCAAACTAGTTTTGGCACTTTTAAGTTAGTATTAGAGGAATCACTAAAGGCTTTTGTAATAATTTTTAACATATATATGTGTATGTATATACATACATACACACACATACACACACACACACACACACACATATATATATTCCTATTTATGGATAGAAATTTGTTCTACTGATGGGAAGAAAGAATTTATGGGAACAAAATTGTTCTCAATTTTCTTCTCAGATTCCTGAAAGTAAACAAAGCTTCCTTTGACATCAAAAGTAAAATTAAAGCAATAAAACACCGTTTAAAAAATAAACCATATGTACAGGTTTTATGTAAAGAATAATATTTAAATTAAGGAACTTCAGCCACAAGAATAAAACATAATAAAAATAATAAGCCTTTTGTGTTCCCTGCAAACCTCATAATCAAATTCAAGCCAATCATGGTGCTAATATAAATGTAAAAGTCCTTTGGCTAAGGAAATGGCTTTTTCTTTCTTTCTTTCTTTCTTTCTTTCTTTCTTTCTTTCTTTCTTTCTTTCTTTCTTTCTTT